ATAACGAGTAAAATCGTTAATAAGTCCGACCCTGCTGGAGATACACACCACTCCCATTACTTCCCCACCCCTTTGACTTTTAACTACTAAAATTCGATAGCATCAATCCCCCTAATACTCAGAAAATTTCAGAAATTTTCGCCGGTTTAGCGAAATTTTCTGAAATTTTCGACATAAAGCGCGAGAGTTATTAATTAAGCTATAACAATTAAGAAGGTGAACAAAATCGCGATCCCCCCACACACACATCAACATCCATACCTACGGAAATAACTCCCCCTAGCCAATTTTTTTTTGTATTTATCGACGTTTAAATGTGTCCTAAGTCAAAAATTGTAAAAATCTAGAATGGTCAGTTTTTGTCCGATCGCCGTACTTTCCCTCTGTTAAGTATAAATAAGAAATACGCGGTGAAATTAAAAACAATTACAATAAATACAGTACTGTAATCTGGTAATAAAAATTTCAGTTAAACGTGCTAACCGCTGTTCCGATCCACTGGTAAAATTTCCTCCTTGTTGGCACCAAAAGGGTCTGGGCCAATCGCGGTCCGGCCAGGCTGGCAATGGGGCAACCGGGTGGTGAGGGATTTCCTACATATTTGGAACGGACCACACCCGAAATATTCCTGTTCGGATTGGTAGAAAGGCCGAGGCGGTTAAGGCGTCGGCCTAACCGCCTCGGCCTTTCTACCACATCGCAACATATTTTTGCCCGAAGTTTTAACGTACAAATGGTCCTTTCTCTCCCACTAAGTAATAAACCATAATACGTAATTTTTCAAAGATGCAACAAGCTCTCTTACGGAGTAAGGCCCTAAGCGCGGACCTCGCTTGTTTAGCTTGCATAAATGTGAACTTGCATTTTATATTTTAAAAATCTATAAAATAAAGAAACAATACCTTTATCCGGCAACGAATCTCTAATGAAATAATCATTTACGTCTTGTTTTATACGGATGATTACAAATAATTGTGCCACGCAACTTCATTTTAAGCCAGTCATCATCGGATTGCATGGCGATTTTTACGCAACTCGATGATAATGACCTGTCCAAAATATTCAAAAGTTCAATTTTATAAAAGTTTTTAGGTGGTAAATGTGTTCTTGTTTTTAAAAATCCATACAAATTTACACTGGTAAAACATTGAGGTTTTTGTTACAAGGAACCCATTATATAAATACTAAAATTGCTTTCACGTCTTTTCTTACATTTATGTAACATATCATTTAAAACTTTATATGTAATTGTTATGTTGAAACTAAATGAATAGTTTTTTGTAAAATGCTTTCGCATTAAAAATAAGTGTCATAATTTTAGTCTTTTTCTTGATAATGCAGATTTTTAGTGTCCCGCGGGCACTAAGAGGGACCTTTTTTTCTTGCACTCATTATGGATTAAGCCAGGCCACAATGGAGACAGCCGGTTGGACTTACTGCCGACGGAATAAGCCAGAGGCGTTGTCCTTTCCGAATTCGATCTCTGTAAAAAGTTGCCAAAGGGACCCGAACGACTTTACCGGCACTCGTATGCACAAAGTTAAATGTACGCCGTCTGTTACTAGATTTTATTTTAAAATAACTTTTATATTATTTGTTATAAAAAAGACAGAAGGCTTGTTTTAGGTAGGAGTGAGTTTTCAAAGAAATTATAAATACTGGTAACGAATAAAACTTCATTAAACCCGATCCCATTCGAGATACGACATATGTCCTCCATATCTAAAGTGACCATACGTCCTTTATTTAAGAGGACAGTCCTTTATTTCACTGCTCTGTCCTTTAACTTTATTTATTTTCTAAAATAGGCATTTTGTCCTTTATTTTGTAAAGTTGATGCAGAGTTTAAAAAAAAAATTTTAATAATATATTGAACAAGTTAGTTTTGTGTACGCCATCACGATCAGTGTTGCATTGCTACATAGAGCGCAGTAGTGCAGTGTGTCGCCAACGAAATGGCCCACTAACAGTACCAGGGGGTGGACACTCTTATGGGGATTTTTGTGATAGTTTTTTAGCTCTCTAGTTGGTGGATGATACACTTGTTAATTAAAGCTAAAGTTAGTTGAAAGAAAAAATGAGGGGTTTCTTCCTATTGTTATTAGAAAAGTGGTCTTAGCATTAGAAAAATCAGAAAATATACAAGCCAAAAAATTCAATGATGTTGTGTACACATTTTATCAAACGTGCATAGATTATCTAAATGATTGGGACATGTTTTTTATTGAAATAGAGGTGTTTGAATGGGTCACATTATGTGAAATCCCTTTGTGGGCGAAGGTAGAGGAAAGCTATATCTTTATTTCGAATCATTGGTCCGTAAATATACTCGACGGTGAATTATTTGATGAAGTTTCATGTGAAAATATGTCACAAACGAAAAGATGGACGAATGGTGACAGAATAACCAGCCCTGCCATCAAAGGTGGATTGAGATTTTTGAACATTTTACAGCAGAAGAAATTGTTTTCAAAAACGTTTGTAAAATCGTAGAATTTTTTTGTCTTCCTGGATCTAATGCCCCCGTTGAACGAATATTTTCATTGCTGAATAATATGCGGACGAATGAAAAATCCCATTTAAAAGTAAGCACATTAGAAGCATGTATTTCTGTCAAATACAACTTTCAAATGAACTGTATGGAATTTTATGACTTTAAAGCGTGAAACGGTGCTATAAAAAAATTAATTCTACTGAAAAGTATCAAAATTAATGTTATTTAAATTTTTACAACGTGTGTATGTGTAATAATTCAGATTGTTTAAAATTTTAATGTATGCATTGTTGTATGCTACTATTTTCGTAATAAATGTTATAAACTTATGAATTTTATAAGGTATTTTTTGATTTTCTTCGATATGTCCTTTATTTTCCCCCAAAAGAATATGGTCACTGTATCCATATCTCCTCACCTACTTGGCATTTATTTAATTACTAAAATTTACATAACAGCATACATAACATGAATAACCCAGGATATTTTCAATTAAAAATTGAATTATGACTATTTACAAAAATTTTTTAAATTTTCGAGTCTATCTTTCATTTTTTTAACACACCACAGAAGTAACTGTGGAAGTTCATCCAGGCCAATATACTGTTACTTCTGTGGTGTGTTAAAAAAATGAAAGATAGACTCGAAAATTTAAAAAAATTTTGTAAATAGTCATAATTCAATTTTTACTAAAATTTAATAGCGTCGATGCCCCGTATATAAAAATTAATCTCCAAGTTTCAAAACTTTTGGTCCATCTAGGCTTAGGTTTATTCGGTTACAGCAAAACTACACGTGGGCGATCTGCCGTGAGGAGTGCCTCCCTGAATATTTTCTGAGAGATATTATGGGAAACTGGCCCCTATTTAGGTGTTAAAAACGTGAAGAAAACCCGGAAAACTTTACGTGACCGGCCGTGACACGACCTGTGTGTTTTTAACCAACTTAGTCACCAGTGGAGTCTGATTCATCCAATCTTGAGATATAATGCGCGCGCACACATACACAGATTTTTGACATTTTTGAGCTCCTAGAATTGTCAAAACATGGAGAAAACGCAAAAAAAGACGGAGATTCATAATTTGACTGATCATCCCTACTTTTTCTATATTGTATTCAATAACAGCTGGAAAAGTAAAATTCATAAATTTAAAAATCATGTAAAATTATTTTAATTGAATTCTGTTTAACCTCAATTAATTTAATTTAATTTCTTTTCTCAGTGAAAGGAAGCACATATTTTTAATGTTAATTATTGAAAAATAATCCTGTACAATTTCCATTTATTTGCCAGTGATCCTTTCCTGTTAATGAAGTAATTTAACGGAATCCTTGATAAAATTAATTTATTTTTTCGATTTTTATATTTTTAAGTAGATTTAACTCGTACATTTAATGTAAGAATAATTATAAAAATGTAACTACAACATATTCAAATACTGGAATAATTAAGTTTCTTCCACTTCTTTTCGTGGGAAACAAAGAAACGAAAGAAAAATCTTATTTTTGGACTTAAGCTGCTTACAATAGAACCGTAATCTTACTTAATTCAAATTTAATGATCGTAGAGAAACAAAATGGCGCCGCAGTTCCCTAGTGGCCTGACACGACACTATTGACTTTCGCTTCGTACCGCCATCTATGAGTGAATAAAATAATTAAAAATAAATTATTTTTTTTTATTAATTTAAATTAAACGTAATACATATAAATCAAATTATTAAATATAAAATGCTTATATTATATAATTAAGTTTTGATTCTAGTATTAAAGAATTTAACATCGTAAACAGTCAGGCGCTAGGATGTTAGTACATTGCGCCATCTGGCGAACGAAATTTAAAATGTAGATTAAATATTTCTTTTTACGTTATGTTGAATAAATTTTACGAGTAAATCTTGGTTAACTTGAGAGTTCACAATATCGAGAGAGTTGGATGTATTCCAATTACATTGGACTTTTTAATAAAGTAATCACTCGATATAGGAAACAACTGCGTACTGTTTCCTACGTAAGAAGCATTGCATTCCAATTACAGTGGACTCTTGATAAAATAAACACCCGATATATCGAACAACAACATTTTTTTATGTATATGGTAAATGATTTGTTTAGTCTTTCGAGAGTTAGCTCTATCCTAATTATATTTGACTCTATAAAATAACCACTCGATAAAGTGAACGGCTTTGTTGGTAACTTATTTATTGTTCTTTATATACATAGCGAATGATTAAGTCTCTTCTGAGGGTGCAGCGTATAAAACACTAAATGCGGCGCGTAAAAAATGATAATAATTTGTTTATGGTTCCTGGAAATGTCGCTGTATTCTAATTATATTTGACTGTTTATAGATTAACCACCCGATATGGCGAACAAATTTATTGTTTACTATGTGGATCTGTCTTCTGAGGGTGCAGCGTGTAAAAACAGCAAACGCAACGCGTAAAAAATAACTTGTAGTGTTAAAAAGTCCCATCAGCAAAGTGACCACGATCGAAAACAATACTTTTTTATACATGAAATAACTCGTTTTATTGTGCATTATCAAATGTAACTATCAGACAGTTACGTTACATAAAAAGAACAATAGCAACGATATACAGAAATGAAAAAATCCAATATAAACATACAGGAATACCCTGTCAAATTTGGTCGTTCCAATTTGTCATCTTGTTATTTTCCATCGAGAAAAAAAATAATAAACAAAATAAAACACAAAAAATGGGAGGAGAACGTCATGTATGGAAGACGAAAGTTGTAGTTGACTAGGAGTGACAGGCCTACTTTAGTCGAGACATACTTATGTACACGTAGGTTATCATATGCTACATTTGTAAATTGCTCTTTCTTGCTTAACAATTGTTTTACTTTGGAGAATTGTTGCACAGATGAATTTTCTCGTATTTTAAACACCCGCAAAGTCCATTTATAAGTGTAACAAATATTGCACGTCCAAACGCTACGATTTAAATTAAACAGTAATTAACGGAAAGGCCATTAAAAAAACTTAACGAGGTTATACATAATTAAGTATGGAAATCCGACAGTTAAAGCTTTCCTTAAACAGAAAAAAAAGGAGGGGAGGAGAAGAGGAAATTATAATAATAAATTCTTCAGTTTATCTAAACTCGTGGTGCATAACAGTGCATCGTGGTTAATTCCTCTGACGAGGATTTCTGGTGTTTTTCAATTTGTTTCGGCTGACTGAATTTTGAAACAAAATGGCTGATCTCTCCCCTCAAACGGCTATAATTTTACTGGCGTCAACTTTGACCTTAATGAACAATGTGTCGTCTCGTATGTAATTGCGTTTCCTAAGAGTTTCTTGAGAAACAAAACGTGGAAAACCGAATCCTAATGCATCCGGTTCTCTGCTAGGTCTTTGGAAATTCTTCCACGTTGGATCTGGCACAAAACTCTCGACAATGTTACACGCTTTATCGGGGGTGGACGATTGATCGTATAGTGTGAAAGAAACAGTATGAGAGAATGGCCAAGGGAGAAGGGAATCGTAATCACCGGGCAAGAGTTTGATGTAGATGGAAAGGTGGGTACCCTCTCCGGCTCCGTTGCCATTTAAAAATACAGTGGCCATTAATTTATACCCGTGTTGACTACTATAAAAGGGTATGCTACACAATTCGAATCCCTCTTTGCTCTTTGCCTCTGTTAGTTTTTGGTTGTAGTCGTTTATTTTCCATAAAAGTACACCCGATGTGTTTAGAGTCATGTTGTGCAATGCTGATCTCAAGGCGCTGATTTGATGCTGCTGTCTAGAAACTAGACCGCACATTAAAACTAAATGAGACTTGACACTTTCTTCGTTATGCTGATCCAAAGCAAACCAAGGACCCTGTAAGATCGGTTAATTAATTAAACAAATTCCCCTTTTTAACGTCATTAACGGGTATAATAAACTGTAATTTTACCTTAAATTTACATCCCATGTCTTTAAAGGCGCAGTGCATAACTACAGCTGAACAATGGTCGTTCATGTGTGTTTCTAACTCTTCTCTGGGTACTTTAACTACTTCGCAACGATTGGGGCATGGCAAAGGATATCTTGGGCATTTGGCAGTGTGATTCTGCAAGTTAAATACCTGATTATAGCGCCATTATACGGAATTTAAAGCGATTTTTAAACAGAACTTACCTGTAATGTGTCGAAAACGAACTCCTTCTGACAATATCGACAGGGTACTAGGCGTTTAGTACAATCATTCAACCTATGGTTATTCATAAATCTCCTCTGCACTTTAGTACCGCATTTATTTTCGCAATAAACGGGTTCGTACTGGCAACAACCCACGTGATTCTGTAAAAAAAAATAACAGTAAATTTTTACAATAAAAATCAAAAGGCGGGTCACGAAATTTTTATAGAATAGAAGAAAACTATAAAAAGCACTTTTTAAAAAGAATCCCCTGAAGCAATTCGCAGATCGAGTGTGTTTAGGTGTCTCGGTAAATGGTTCCATCTGCAGATGTCAACTGGACATCTCCACACCCGCTGGGATTTAAGAAAAGGAAAGTCTGCAGCCTTACAACGTGTAATTTTAACCTTTAAAACTAGGAATATTAAATTTACAAGGTAAAGTGTGCCATTTTTAAGTGCAAGAGCACCAAAATTCCATCCACGCACGCGTTAAAATGTAATATAACACATAAAACGGTGCGGATCATCTCGTGCTTCAAGTTTCTGAGAAACTTGAAGAACAAGATGATCCGCGCCGTTTTAATTATGTATAAAATTTACCTGTAGGGATTCTCCCGAAAAGTCTCTGCCACAGAAGTCACATCTGGTACGACGTTTGGGGCACGTGAAGAGCAGATGATCCTCCATCAGCAGGCGAGGTATCATAGCACCGCATTGATTAGTGCAGGGGGTGGTGTCATATTTACAAGTGTTTAGATGGGCCTGCGGAGAGTAAACAACAATTAAGCACGTGCCAACCCTTCGGTAAATTTCATTAACGCCCCGACAACAATTACAATTATCCAATTGTTTGATTCACGAACCTCAATCATCCCTGATTTCCCTTAAGATCAAACTCGTTTATTTACGTAATAAAGGTCATTTAGACATTAACGACGCCATAAAATAGTTAAAAAAAATAGGGGAGGAGAATTGCCCGCGGAGAATGACCTCATATTTTCATAGGAAATAAAAATATGGCATTGAAATGTTTCATTTTTTCAACACCAGGGGAAAAATCGCTCTTTCCCTCTGTCATCTGCTGTCTTCGTCGAATTTATCTTCGTCTTTTTACACACGAAACGTTTAAATTTCTCTGAGATTTGTTCCGTTTCTGGTTTCATAAAAGAAGTGAAACATTCGCCATGTTTTTAAAATGGCGGATTATATTTACAAAAATCTCATAATTTTAAATAAAATCTTAGATGTGAATGAAAATCAACACGCTGTAAGATGTTTCGATCCATTCGGATGAAACGAAACACGTGATAATGATGAAAATTCTGGCTGTTCCCCATGCAATACTTTGTTCCATTTCAGAATGAAAGAAAATGGCGGCTGTTTCAAATTACACTTATCGAAATTAATTAAGAATATCCATGCAAAACTCCTGTTTCCTCCAAAAAACTCTTTCCTTTTGGAGGAAACAAACAAAATGGCTGCCGTTTCTTCTACATAATAAATCAAGAAGTTTACTTAAATTCTAGTTTAAAACTAACCTGGAGTTTCCTCAACTCATCGGTCCATTTGCACCCTTCCTTGTAATGGATACAATACACCATAGATCCCATAATAGTAGCTTCGGCATCTGGATCGGGGTAAACCTAGAAAAAAAAGGAATAAAATAAATTCAAAATTGGAAAGTGGAACATCGATTATCACTTGGAACAATTGGAGCAGCAAAACTTCGGTACATAACTAGACGAGACACACCCTTTGCTCCGATACATATAATGATTAGTTGATGCCATAACCATGATTTCCCACGAGGCGAGCCGTTTCTTTTATACAGAAAACGCTTGAAAAGAATCCAGGGAGGTGGAAAGATGATACAAACAACCCTGCTAAAAAACTACTTTTTTTTTAAATTTCGGTAGCCGCAACTGTGTTCTTTCCTCCCCTCGAATTGTACGCGGAACCACGCGCTGAAATCTCACATCTGTCGCGCCACGTCATCCCTTCTCACTAGACCAGTGTTTCCCTTCGACCGAACTTTGACCCCGAACGTTAAGTCGTCTTCCTCTATGTCTGTGCGCTTCTGTCGCGTGCTGCGTGTAACGGAGGAAGAGTAATTTATCACTCCCGGTGCCGAAAGATTAGAAACTCCCTAATTTTTAAAACAAGAGCTCTTTCTCCACCGAGCTACTAACACAGTACTCCCTCTTTAAGGTCGTTAACAATAGCATAGTGTGAAGTGGATCGAACTACGCTACCTCGTCGTATTTAAGATAAGCGCGGGCCGCTTCGCGTGGCGCGGCGTCGCCGTCAGCGCCGTCGCGTCTGGAACGATCTGACACGCCAAAAAGGGTGGCGTAAAGAAACTCATAAAGTTAAGCGAGTGCGGGTCGATACAATGTTCACTTTCATCACCCATCGAGCGACGCTTAAATGACTCAGAGTTTAAGAAACTCCCATTTAAATCCTACCTTTCTGTCGACTCTCCTGGCTCCTGCCACCCATCTCGAGAGGGAAGGGACGTTCCAGTCAGCTTCCGTCTCCATGACGACTGACGAACTGTCTGCGAGGGAGGAAGTTGGAGAGAGGAGAGAGGAGACAAACTTGATCGCAGCGCCTCCCAACGGAGTAGTCGCAACGATAGGGGTCAAAGTGGAGCCAAAGAGAGTCAATATAGTAGCGGCTACAGACGGCCTCTCGCGATGTTTTTAGGGGATTTTTAGCGGTTTTTTTCAGAGGTTAAACACTACAAACTCGACAATTTGTAGTGTTTTTAATTACGCAGCGGCGGCGATCGCCGTGTTACAAATGATTTCAAGAAGACTTCTCGTAGGGATGAAGACTAAATTTCCGAAAAGGGATGAGGAATAGACGATTTTTTTTATTATTATTTTTATCTTGATTTTTATGGCACCGTTCCAATAATGTGCAGGTGGCGTTGTCACAGATTTGTACTCCGCACGAGAGGGGATGGAACCCACAGCTGTGACTCACCGCAGTAAGGAGTTTGATCGGAATGACAAATCGAAATTCTCCTTTAAAAAATAAAGAAAAAGTTTCGGGGGACGAAAAAAAGAAGCTATTAGTTTTAGAAATGGGACAGAATATCTTTTATTTTATCTCCGCTGAGATCGGAGATTTCCTCGGATGAATCATAAACCACACTGCACTTAACTCGCCTCATTTCCTCAAACCGTTACATAAATAGGTCAATAAACTAATTAATTCTATTATAAACTCTTATATCTACCCAAATAATGGCTTTATAATTAAGAAAGGAACCCCCTCTCCGATCGATTAAAAAACACCCCCTTTCGATGTTTAGCATTTCTGTTACAGCCTGGCTGAGTAATCGAGAACCGAACCCACGCCTGACCGTAAGGAAGAAACTTTTATATTGCATAAAGATGTGCCGTGGCAACACGGTTATTGATAACTTACAGATGTTGTTTGTGGCGGCTTAAACCCATTTTTTCCCGCTCGTAGGGTCAAAGTAGCTCGTTTAACGTAAGGCTTTAAGTTAAAAAGAAGCGGAAACACACGGACCGAAGCCGAAAAAATGGTTACTTATCGCTCTAATCTATCGATGGATGACTAACACCAATTACTTTCTACATAATTAAAGCCGGCATTTTTGAAAGCTTTTACTCTTCATTTTTATAAATTTTCATTTCGTAATTAGATTTAAAAAATTGGCAGAAAAAAGTTGCTCGACTTTATTTTTTTTCAACTTAAAATCGAATAATGGTCGAACCACTTACCTTAGCGTAATCTAGAGGTAACCGATCTTCCGGACAGGTGAACACTCCTTCGCTGCAAGAAAAAAGGGAAAAAGTCGTATAAAGAGGATAAAGATAAAAGATCAGCCGGAATATTTTGTGCCGAGTTACGCGCTGTAGAAGAACGGGAGCATCGGGTGCATCGGGAAAGGATTGGAGGGGAACACGGAATAAACGTGGATAAACTGCCAACTGATTGCCAAAGAAGGTTAAAAAGTGGCAAAACGTGTATAAGCACGAAAGAGCAAAGAGAACATTTTTAAAAAATAGAGGAAAACACGAAAGAACTACGCTGGAAATAACTGGGCATAGAAAAAGACGGAGAGCATTTCATAATACCTGTATCGTGCGAAAAGAGCGAGTAATGAAGTACGTTCGAACTGTGTTTAGAAAGTAGAGACGAGATATGTATCCGGACTGGCAGTCTGAGGGGTACGAGAAAGAAAAAAAAGAAAAACAAAAATCGTTAGTCTCCGTAGACCAGACGTCTTGTCATAAAGAGCAGTTGTTTCACCAACTGTCTACTGTCGTCTAGATGGCTGGATGATCGCATCCAGCTCTAGCTATGGCCTCTTTGTCAACTGTCGGATGTTAAAATACAGGAAAAGCAAACGAGACGCACGAATAAACACGTAAATGAAAGTGCAACCATTTTTTATTCGCAGACAAATCATCTGTAAAGCCACCGGAATGCGTAAAAACGCTTCAATATCCCCGCTTAAATCATGGTGGCTTTAAATATAATTAGTAGAAAGTCCATAATTTATGGCAATTTATAAAATTTGACAAGTAAAAGTAATATATTTTCATACTTCCTTATAGATTTTGCAATATTAAAAAACGTATAACACGAATTTTACTGATTAATCTTCGTAAGTACGCCGAGTCCCTTCGTGTCGCAACCCCTGGGCGACTGGCGACATCTCGTTTATTTGTTTTTTAACGCTAAATTTATAAAATTTAACGGTAAAAAATAATATATTTTCTTACTTCATTACGGATTTTACGGTATTTAAAACGTATAAACACCGAGTTTATTTATTAATTTCATCATAACGTTGATCCGCGGATGAAAATGAGCGACTCGTCGACGCTAAAAATACGTCATCTCGATATTAATAATAAAGGAGAGAAAAACACGAAGATTACCAAGCAAAATTGATAGAAAATTTGAAGATTCATGCGTACAGACTAAGCAACGAACAGATAAAATGCAACTGTCATCGCGCCCAGTCAATGTTGACGTTTCTTTAAAACATTTCCTGTAAACACGGTAATAAATAGATAAAAATATATATTAAATTTTCTAGAAAATTCCGTATTTTCTGCCAGAATAAATATAAATATTCCTTTAAAATTTGCCAGGGTTTAGTATCCATTTTAAGATAAATTCAGTCGGGAATAAATGTAAGAGTAAGGTCGGGTTGATTGATAAAGATGCGAAGCGACGATAAGTCATTATAAACATTTATCGATATCCGGTCAGAGTTGGGAGACGACGAGCACGATTGATTGATAGACGATAAAAGTTGGCAGACTACTTTATTCGTTAGGCTGCGGAGCCATTACAGAAAAGAAAACAGTAATTCGTTTTTCTTCTTCTTCATCGACGGAAGGGGGCGAGTTCGCAGCGCGACACCCAGAGCGTCACCTTTAACACGGGAAGGTAAAAATGTCGTATCGCTATTGTTTCCGATTATTCGGGCGTTCTTCTATATCTTAAAATGGACTAAAGCGCGGGTTTGTTTTTGTGGGAGGGATAATGGTTGACGTCACGTGGACTGGCAATCCACCCTGTCGGTGGGCAGTCGTAACCGGGTGGCGAAGTATTTTCCTTTTTTCGGGTATCGAATCTGTCCGATCGAATGGCAAACGGTATACCGGAGACGTACGGTACCTTTCCGGTTACCGCGCCAGGATAAGACTTTTCGACGATTTAAAAGCCTCGGCCCAACACGATTCATCCAAAATCTCGCCGTGGCTTTCATCAAACAGACGATTTTATCGCGCCGACTAATTTCTACGCGGTTTCAAATCACTCCGCTGGAAAACATTACGACGAAACAAACTTGTTCTTTATAATATTCGGAGCACGAAAAATAACGCGTTATATATATGCTGAGGAGAGCGACTCGATTATCCTCCAATATACACCATACAATTTTAATATTACGTCAAGCTTTTCTCTGGTTAAAATTTATTGCGCCTTAATACACAATAACGAATTTAATACATAAACAAAACGTTTCTGTACAGTCGCGTCGCGCGCTCCTAAGCGGATTAATTACATTTTTCTACCACTTATTTATTAATGCATTTTGCCCGAGCGACTCTCGATTAACCGGAGGACAGCCTTTAAAAATCAAAATTAAAAACGCTTTTAATTTATTCCGGGTGAGTTAAAGCGGAATTAATTATTTTAAAAGAGTCGCAGTTATTCTGCTTTAGTTTAAAGTACAGAATTTAGTAAGGAATTAAGTAGAAAATTCAGTTTACAATTATACATTAAAGTGTACAATTTTGTACTTAATTTGCTTTAAGTTAAACTTCTAACTTAATTTAAGTACACGATTAAGTAAGGAATTAAGTACAAGATTCTATGTTCAATTATGCAATTAATTGTACAAATTCGGCATATTTTTGTTATTTATGAATATTTTTCTGTAAATAAAAAAAGTATAGACGTTAAAACGTTTAAAAATACATTTTTGTACAGAAAAATAGTTTTTAATGGGAAAAAAACGGCATTTTATGTCACATCCCGCGACAAAACCACCTGGACAAAAACCCCTACGCATCCTCGACTTCAATGATAATCATCTGTACAATATAAGTACATTGTGTACAGTACTTTTCTTCTTATAAACTGATAGTTTAAAGCACAGAATAGGGACGTAACGTTTATCTACCGTAAATTTAAAGAGAAACGAGATTCCTCGCACGCCAGCGACAGATGCGAAACGTCGCGTCGCCAATCAACACGATGAGAAACGTATCGATGACCGGAGGAAAAGTAAATATAAGAAAATTAAAGATTTCTTTATATCGAGAAAGGCAAATAAAGCGAGAATGCGAGCTAGAGCCGTGTAATAAAGAAAAGTGCAATTCTCATCAAGTACAGTCAATAAGATACCAGATGTCGGCAACCAGCTGTTCGCAGATGTACAGTACAATATAAGGTAGATTCACGCCAACAAAATAACTAACGGCAGAATTCTCAGAATGTTGTTGCAATGGTAATTAACTACGTTTCAAATTGCTACAAGCTGGTTTTGTCGAATAATTAAAACACTTCAGCCATTTCTTTAAAAAAACAAAGAAAAATCTATCATAATGACTCGACTGTACCAAGCAAATATGAAACCCCAACTTTTTTTCTTGACATCCTTACATTTATTCAAACTGACACAAATTCATATTTAATCGAAATTTTGCAATAAAAATGACTAAGTTAGATAACGTAGTAAGCTGTTAAAATTCCAGATAACAAGCGTCAAACATCCTCCCCCTTACACCGTTCAAACGACCAGAAAGGGCGTAGCAAATGACACTTTTAACATCCAAATTATTGTAGAAATTCTGCTGCGCGATGCGTATCATTAACAAATTTAACAGAAGATATATCCTGCAGAGATGGGGGTTTATATACCCTGAAAAAATGGGGATTCGCATACCCTGAAGAGATGGGGTTTATACGTCCTGAAAAGATTTATATACCTTGAAAAGGGGTTCTATGCCCTGCAAAGGTAGAGGTTTATATACCTCGCGAAGTAGAGCAACGGAAAGGTACTAGAAAACAGCGTGGCACTGAAATGTCAACAATTCGATTGGTTTGTTGACATTTTTATTCTAAAGAATATAATTTAATCTACAACATAATTTTTTTTTACTTTTCAATAAAAATAAAAAAACTAGATGTACTGTACAAGCTGCCATATTAGTCATTATCACTTTCTGTACATTATAAAAATAAAAAGTCACGTTACTTTAAGAAGGTTAACACTACAATAAAAGCTATAAAAATACTTACTATAATAGCATTTTTTAAAAGATAAGTATTCGATCATTAAACTAATTTTAAAGCGTAACAAATGAATTTTCCTGTAAAGAAACAAAAGAAGGTTTTCGGAAAATATAAAATGCAACTCATGCAAAGCGTGTATGTCCTATTTAGGAGAACAGTGGGGAAAAGCACGACGAACGAGGTCCTGTTTCGACTCGTCTACAACACCTCGACCCCCCTCGACAACTCAGCTTAGTTTTGCAGGCCGAGTAGACTTATACACTACGAAATGGACAGATAATTTGGTGTATATTTCGCGTATACAGATTCCTGTACATTCCTTAACAGGTCTAACCCGTCCACACACCAGCTCTGATAGGTGGAAGACAAAAGAAAAACATCCTACCTCTCGGCAATCTTGGAGGGAAAGTTAGGGTTACCGCATAATGCCTGTCCCATAGAAAACATAACAATGTCAACAAAGGGAACGTCGTAAACGTTCGACACATCGAACTTTTCTAATCTGGCACGATCGTAGCGCCACAATAACAACACCTACGACGTCACACCGTCACGTGCTTATTGTAGACTCCGCAGCGGACGTCGGCTTTGCCCCGAGCAAAGGAAGTGATCGAGAACTGGATATCCAGTTTGTCTCGCTGTCCGACTAGTTTTCGTTGCCCTCCCTCCCTCCCTCCCTCCCTCCCTCCCTCCCTTCCTTCCCCCTCTACACTTCAATTAGGTTTTCGGGACTCATTCACTACTTATAGTTGTTAGCGAAGTAGAAATATTTTGCTCAAGGCACTCGTCTAGTCTTGGGAAAGTCAATCGTTTGTGGGTTGAAAAAGGCGACTCTTCTATTGCCTTTTGTATATTTTTAATCGCTTTTTTGCGTCACACAGTCCAACACACACGACAGGTTTTCCATTTTGT